GAAGAATGACGATCACGCCCTCAAAGCAGTGTTTTTTATAAGTATAAGAAAACTACATTTATAAAGGATAGATAGGTCGTGTATTTTTTGCGGACCAGATTATCACCTTCACCAAAGTACTAGGTTACCTAATGGTAATTATGAGCCCGTTGAGTCTCACAACACACATAGTCAGAGGCCCTATCGCTCAACATTAGAGACGAAATTTTTTGCTTGACTAAGCATACCCGTACAAATAGCTCCGGCAACTGTCTTATCAACACAAAACTATCTAGCGTAAGAAAGTGTAATGTAAAAAAGTATAATATCAGTAACAAAATCAAAAAATCGGATTACAAGAAAACAAAAAAAGAATTATATAAGGCCTTAGTACATAACAATTAATCCAAGCCATGTATATTGTTATGAGGTTTGCATATAATTATTAGCCTCATGTTTGTTTTTTAGGGGTGGTTTACCTGATAAGCCATAAATATTCGTACGTACAGTACGGTACATCCTATTATATATCAGCAATAAAATGGTTCGGTTATGCGATGAATAAAATATTATATAAACCATTGTGTAGAGATGTTCAGTCAACATACGATTTATTTTGCGATTTCCATTGAATCTTCACTATAAAAATACAGAAATAGCAATAATAAATATTTGTCAAAGTGTACAAATTCAGAATAAGATCTGAGACTATTCTAAAAATAGGTGGCTTCAAAGAAATACCAAACAAATATGTGCGTTATTTTAAACTTAACCACGTAATAAATTTATAAAGGTAAATTGGTATATGTCGATATAGATTAACGTTAATGGAATGCGCAAAAAATAAAATTCGTGTTACAACTCGATAAAATTACATTCTGAACAGTACTTCAACAGTGGCTTAGTGATTTTACATAGATTTATTATGAAAAAGCCAAAAGTACTTCAACAGTGGCTTAACAGTAGTTTATGACCTTTTAACATTAATATAGTAAGAATCATTGTATATGAATAATTATACTGTTGAATCAATACTTTATTTTAATATATTATTAATTGTTACTGATGTTGAATTTTCAAAAACATAGATCGGTTTTATTTGTCAGTTACGACTTTGATGATGATTCTTTTTTAGCATAAAATAGAAGCGATGTGAATAAGACAAGAAACTTGAAATTATGGTATAATAAAGACTTTATGTTTGCAAAATCCCAATTATTTACCTAATTTTTCATTCAGTTCTTCTACCAACTCCATAATTGATTCTGCCGGACTCGGTTTTAATTCATAGAGACCTGGTTTACGAGTTAATTTTTCCTCAGTTAATCGAAGAAACGCCCGACCGGTAAGATCTTGATCTCTGATTTTTTTAATATCGGTTTCATTAAAATCTAAATCTTTCATTCTGGATTCGAGAAATTTTTTAACATGACTTGGTGTAATATATTATCTTTATTATTTTCGTTAATAATAGTT